TAAACTGTTCACGTCCTCTGTCCATTTTTAAATTGGATTATTTGTCTTCTTGGTGAAGTGTTGAATGAAGTTTTCTACAAATTTTAGAGAGTAGTCCCTCGTCTGATATGTCACTGCCACAATATTTCCTAGTCTGTGTGTTCCTGTCTTATTCTTTTGCTGAAATCTTTGATGCACATTAAGTCTGTAGTTTTTAGGAGGTTGTTCTTTCTCTTCATACCAGGGGCTTGCAAATAGAATTTCAGCAGCAGCATCTTTGCACCCTTATTAAGCCCCTTGCCATGGAGCTGATTCTGACTCATAATGACCCTACAGAACTGCCCCATAGAGTTTCCAGGGCTGTGATCTATACAGACACAGACTGTCACATTTTTCTCCCTCAGAGTTGCTGTTGGGTTTGAACTACTGATCTTTGCTGCTTATAGATGCATCTTCTTCTGGTGTGACTCGTCTCTGAGTCTGTTCTTTGCTTTTATAAGACACTACTCTGAATCTCCCAGTCCAGAAACAGAGGACCCTAGGACCATCAAGGAAGAAGAGCACAAGTGGAATGCAAGACCCTATCCAGAAAAGCAGAGATTGGGACATGGAGAGAGGGAGCAGCTGAGGACTCTAGATGCCTTGTAAGAGAGGGACTGAGAGCTGGCAGCCAGGAGGCAGACTTGCAGAATGTGCCCTTTGGTGGTGTAAATAATTATATATACTTGAGTGTTTAAAACACAAAAAATAGCTAAAATGAATAGAGAGAAATACTGTTAACTGATGATACATGGGGGGATTATAATCATTGTAATGAAACAAGGTGTGTGATTTGTTGAATGTAAAACTGATGATCTTCCTGTAAACTTTCACTCAAGTCACAATAAAAACTTAAAAAAAAAAGAAAAAAAGACACCGCTCTGAGCTGAGAATCTCCTAAACCAAAGAGCTGTAATACTGGAAATGGTGGGAGACAGTGAGAAGCAGAAGCAGAACCAGAAGGTTAGCAGGAGATGGTGAGGTGGCCTTTCTGGCCCTTACAGCTAGAGTTGAGAGCCTGCAGGCTGGAAGCTTGCTCATGAAACTGAGTGCCTCAGGGCACTTATTGGCAGAGCCAAAGAGCTTTTAACGCTGGCCTGAGCAGAGCAGAGGCCCAACCAAGTACCAGAGAGAGGCCTGACTGCTGGCTTAAGAGACTCTCCTGATGGAAGAGCTAATCCTGTTACTTTCTTAATAAACCCCCTACTTATGGAGTCCTGGTGTGGCACTGTGGGTTAATGCACTGGACTGCAAGGTCGGTCACCAGTTGCTACTTGGAAACCCTATACAGGGTCGCTATGGGTTGGAACCATCTCGACAGCACTAACAACAATTATGGTCTGGTCTGTGAGTTCGGTGTGGCCATTGCAACACATCATTGACCCCAGCAGAGAAATCGAGAGGGCGTGCGAGGGACAGATCGTATCAGACTTGGAGCAAAGGTTGGAGAAAGGAGGCCTGTCTGAGCCCTGCCATATCGGAATTGGCCTTAGGCTGTTGGTGCTGATAGTGAACCTCCTTTCCCCTTGTGAAGCCAGAGGAAGGCAGATAGATACCTCCTCTACTAGACCACATGGTTGGTTTGAACTGCTAGGTCAGTGGTTCAAAATCACCAGCTGTTCCTTGGAAACCCCATACAGGGTTGCGATGAGTCTGAATTGACTTGAAGGCACTTACCAACAGCATATCATTTGTACAAATCCCCACTCCACTTCCACTTAGATTTTGATCCCAAGAAGGTGGTTAGTTCAGTTCTGGGCCAAATGCACTGAAATTATTCCTTTGCATTGACAAGACATACTCTTCCCCATGGTCACATGTGAGCCCTACAACAGCCCTGTGAGGTGGGGATCCATTTGACAGATGAGGGCACTGAGACTCATCTGTCTCAGGCCCGAAGTCATTAAGTAACAAGCCTGTTTTGTCTGAGTCTGAACCCTACATCCCTGCCCCAGGAGCTTTTACTACAGTGCATCCCAACCTTAGCTCTGCTTACGTAGGTGCAATAGAATGAATTGTGTCCCCTAAAGGTATGTGTGGATTTCCTACTTCCTGTATCCATGGATACGATCTGTTTGGAAATAGAGTTTTCTTTTGCTGTGTGAAAGAAGCTATGTTAGAGTAGTGTGTATTCTAAACTGAATTGCTTCTGAGTTATTAAAAAAAGAGACTGAATTGATGCAGAGACAGACACAGGGGGAGGACAGATTCCATGTCAGGACCTGCCTTCACATTAAGGAACACCAGGGAACTCTCAGGGCTACTGACAAGGAAGGGCTTCCTGTTTAGGATTTCCAGCCTACTGCACTGGAGGAAAGAGATTTCTGTTCTTTAAAACCCCTTGTGGTATTTTTGCTATAACAACACAAAGTGACTAAGATAGTAACACATTCACATAACTAGCAGGTTATCTGAATGTCTTGTGGACTCTTCAAAAGCCCTGCCCCTGATATTCAGAATCAGAACTGGGATTGGCCATGAAGCCCCAGTACCATTCCTTCATGAGACACAGCAAAAGGCCCCATGTTCATCCCAGACCTCTGTTGAGCCTCCCTCCAGCCGCGGCTGCGCAGACTTACTGTGTAGAGTTCATTGGTGACCTTCAGTAGCTCCTCATGCATCTGCAAGCCAATCTCCTTGCTCTGGAAGATGGAAGAACAAATGTTAGGAATGCTTAGGGTGAGGTGGTACAGAAAAATCAGGAATGCTTAGGGTGAGGTGGTACAGAAAAATCAGGAATGCTTAGGGTGAGGTGGTAATGGGGACAGAAATCATCATAACCCTCATGGAGCCAGATGTGAATTTCTTAGTGTGCGTCCATGAAACAAGGCTACAGAGAGGCACCTTGCAAAAAGAATTCTCAGTACAGATGGGTAACTCGTGATACTGTAGTGAATAATGCTTATCAGGGCAGACTATGAGGGTTGGAAATGCAAAGGTAGAAGTTTTGTAACAAGGAAGGGAGTGATTAATTCTCCAGGATAGGAG